AAGCGGAAATTGCCGCCACGCTCGAATTTCGAACCCGCGTCTCTCGGATGTGTGCATCCTGAAACAGATCGGTGTACAATAACCCATAACTAATAAAAGTCTGTGTTTATTTACGAAATTCAAAATATAAATTCAGTAAATTACCTTCCTATGGCGACTGAAGAGAAGTGTGGTAGGGGTGACTTTTACTCCATTGATAAGTTGTACACAGTGGCACAATAGTACACAAAGAACTTTGCACATAGTCCTGGGAATTTTTCGGCGCACAGTCCGTACCCTTAAAACATTGCTCTTCTGTCATCAGTCATGTACAAAAATAGCCCTGGTACTTTTTGATGCCGCTATGGAACAATGGGTTCTGACAGATACTATTCTTAAGTCTTTTGCGTACACTTTGTATAATGGTAGTCAATGCAGTAGTGCGTTGACAAATTAGTCCGCTCTCTCATTTTGAAAATGCACATTCGAAAATAATGTTCGCTTTCAGTGGCATTAGTCAATGGCTTGCGACTTTTTTTCTTGTTTTTCGAAATTTCAGCAAATGTTATGCTCTCCTTTTTTGTGAAATTTTAGTCTGTGAAGGATGTAAACCTCTTGACGGCCAAGACAAAAAAACTGGTAGGTTTTGACATTTTAGCATCGAAAGCAGTCTTCAAAAATAGCAGAAGTTACTTTTTAGATATTTGTTGACTAGGGTTTGGGGTCTGGATGCATAGAAATGGGAAATTCTCCCCTGTCCTTGCCAGCAATAATATGTGTCCGTACTACTAAAGGCTAGGGCTGCTATCAGGGCCCGAGAAATGAGGCCGAAGACAAAACTGACGGGGAGAAGTGAGTTTCGTTAGCTGTCGGTGAACGTTCGTCACCGACGATCAATATCTTCCAACCTAAACCAGCAAGGTAAGTAGTTCGTGGCTCAATGCTTAGGGTTTTCGAATTTTAACGAACAAGTCGCGAGTTCGAGGCTCGGCTGGTGCACCACTTGGGTCGGGGTATGAGTGGCTGACGATGACTTAAAAACAAAAAATGGCCATTCCAGCCTCCTTTGTTTTTGCCGGCAGTACTATCTGTCTATACTTCTAGCTGCTACAGCTGCTGTCAGGCCCCGCGAAATGAGGCCCAAGGCTAGGCCGGAGCGGAATAGGTGAAATTCGTTAGCGATCGGCGAGCATTCATCAAGGAGTGTCAATAAAAAATTCGCCCGTCATACAAATGATTTAATAAACGGAAAGCAAGCACAAAGCGTGCGAAAACATGAATTTAAGATTTACTGGTAAAAAAGTAAAAACTTCACAAAGAGTCCTAGACCCTCGGGTCCTGGAGTTTCGCTTCATGTGTTTCGAGTGTGTCCTGTAAAAATTTTCAACCATTATTCTCATTTTCTCGAATGCAACACTTCCATTTGTAAAGTGTAGTCCATGTTGCTTCCTACCCAACCTTATGAACACCGCTTTTAGTAAACTACATACATTTGAACATCAAGGTATCCTAGTAGTTCTTAGACTTTATTTTGTAAAATATACGCTAAATTTAAGCCTTTTAATCTTAGAATTTGTCTATCCGCTGTTTTGACGTGGCCGCCGTCACAAGCAGACTGACTTGGGCGGAAATATTGCTTAACACTTAAACTGAAACCACATTTATAGTGATTATTATATGTCCTCAAAAATCCAGACACCGCCATGGCGGGATGTATGGTCTGCATTATTAAATATACCAGTCGCACCGATTAAAATGGTGCTTTAAACAGTGTTTTTAAAGTATACTCTGAGTTATCGTATTGTCTTTCCCTACAATGTATATGCTTTTGCTTTGCAAGGCGACAATGGAAGTGGAAAAATGAACATTGGAATTCACAACCTACTATTGGTCCCGTTTCTTGGCCCACGTTTGATAAAAGCATTTTTCGTTTGTCTTCTTTTGGGGGTAATTTGTTATGTCAGTTTAGAGTTATATTTTTCCAAATGAATTGGCTGTTTCCTTTGCCTATTTTTCATTTGTCCCTAGGATAGCGCATCAAAGTGGGCTTTCTTATATCACACAACTTCTTTTTAATAAACTTGCCTTTAAACATGGGCAATACGCCTGATGGCATCCTTCATGTTGCATCTTCTGCAGCTTGGCCCTCTTCCCACAATCAACGGCTTCTTCTTCCGGGAGGCGCTTGAGAAGCTTCTTATTTCACAACTGCAACTCATTTTGAACGACCTGTTGTGCCAAATTTCCGGTGAGTCAGGGTTGCGGCTTATTTCAATCACTGCTTGTTTACAGGTCAATAATAGCAAATAGAGATACATACAAAACAAATATTTGAAATTCTCTGTTTGACAGAGGCAATGTTCATTCGACGTATTTCGTTTTAGTTTTGGACTAAAAAGCAGATAAAGAATGTTGAGGGCCGCATTTCTATTACCTTCGACAATGTGTGGGCATTTGAAGGCGTTCTAAAAATGTCAAAAGCATGAATGAATATGTACAAAAAGTCTTGTTGTTGGCGCCAATTTATCACAATAAAGCTGCCTTGTCCGGAATTATAGCTTGCGAAGTGCATAAGCCGCTCATATGTGGCAAGAAGAGATACCGACAGCGTTAAAAATATATAGAACGGCAGTTCATGAGTAGGTGTACGACCTGGATTTTCTTCAAGTTTTCAATAGCTTTGGTTAACATGTCAATCTTTAAGTTGTTCTCACTAGCTTATTACTACAGGGCTCTCTGGAAGTAACACTATGTTTCTTACTTCTGAACGGTAACCTTTAATTGTATGCGTTGTACTATTTTATAGAGATTTATTTCCAGGCATCTTCATATATAATTACATTCTTCTCCATCTAAGACGTCATTTCCGTTTGTATTGTTTATTAGACTGATCTTGCGTTGATCTCTAGATGAGTTAGGGGAAAAATATCTTTTTAATCTTTTGAATATTTATTTTACTGTGCTTCTCGCACCATTCATCAAAGCTGACATCATATTTATTAAAAAAATATTTCCGATTAGCAAAGTAATTAAGTAAGTTTTGTTTTTCCTGTGAACTATTCTGATACTGCAGCAGGTGGCATCGGTCCATACGGTTCCGTCACGGTTATTTCTCATTATATATTTTCGCAAAACCAATTAAAGAAATTAATCAATGGAACTATTCAGTCAACTTTCAACTTGTTTAGTTATGAGAAAGCCCATTCTGCCTTAGGCCTAACCAACCAAAGTTAATATAATTTATTTAAATTTCATATTTGTATGCAAGTTGTCCTTGCGCAATTCCGAATAAACATTACTCATACCTAGGTGAAAATAATTCAGCCTATTTTTAAACGATCCACGTCATGTCCCAATTGTATAACTGTATAACTGTATCAGTATGCAGAGACAGCTAAGCATTAACTTGGGTCATTGGAAAATCAGAAATCAAATATATATCAATGGCTTATTCGCACCTCAGTGCTTAATGAAAATGTAACTTATACGCTATTGAAAATGTTCCCACAGGTAAATTGACCATAATTAACCTGGACGGATAAACAGATTTATAAGTTCATACGTACAAACTGGAAAGTCGGCATCCCAAGAGGTATAATTCGGTAGAAGAAGTTCTTTGGGAAAATGTTGTTTATTGGGTGAATTTTCAACACTGGCTCACCAGGTCGTCATCAGACGGATGGGAATCGTAAGAAACAGTTAATTCACAATGATGGTTAATAGGGGTTTATATAGTGGGTCAGGGTAATTGTCACCCGCATGTGATTATGCGGTCAGTGGGGAAGTAAATAGTTGTTAACCGCATGTAATTATGCGGTCGGTTGGGGACTAATTGTCGACAGCATCTAATT